GGAGCGGGGAGGTAGGGGAAAATGAGGACCTAATGCTGGGGGTTTAAGTGGAGAGGAAATGTTTTGAGAATGATGAGGGCAAAGAATGTACAAATGCGCTTTACACAATTGATGTGTGAATGGATTGTGATAAGAGTTGTATGAGCCCCTAATAAAATGATTTAAAAAAAAGAGTAGGATATCAGATATGTGTTTATGAAAGTATTATCCAAAGAGTTTATGATGTCTGGCACTTTGGGGATGATAGGAATGAAAATATTAGGGAAAACTGAAAGCATAATCAGCAATTCAAGTGCCTCATAAAGAGAAATATGAAGTCAAACGGAAATGCTGTTTTATCCTCACTTAATATTTTGGAGCAATTTGGATTTCTTCAACAAAACTGATTTTTCAAAGATCAGACTAATTATGGTAATTTCTAATATATTATTGTTTCTGAGAAACCAATTACACAAAATGTAATGCCTAAAGTGGGAATTATAAGATATGCTAATTTCCCCTTAAATGATCTCTATTTTAGATAACAACAAGGCTTACACTTGGAAACATAATTTAAAGTAAAATGGGGAACTTGGTAAATATCAGGTAAGAGCAAAGGAAGACTGTGGGGAAATATCAAGTTATGAAGCAAGATGATTGGGTCATTATTATAATGATGAAGTTTATACAGCTTCTATAGCAAGGATCTAATGGTAGAAAATAGTGTTTTTGTTTAGTGAAGTCAGTGACTGACTTAGTGAAGACAGTCTGATTTGTTTTATGCTTTTTACTCATAATTCTGTATTTAATTTAGTGTATCTGACATTAATCCTGACAAACATTGCCTGCATTTACTGTCTTCATCCTGTAGACTTTCTCACCCAATGGCTACCACTACCTGGAGACTTTCTCACCCAATGATTGCAACAGCATCCAAACTAACCTTATCCCTCTTTAATGACTGCTTTACCTTGCATGCATAATAAAATACCAGTCTGAACATGTCAGCCCTTGCCTAAACATTTAAAACAGCTCCAACGTCATTAATAATTTTCCGTTCTATTGTGATAAAAACACTAGTTTAATTAAGAGTGAGATCCAAGAACCATTCAATTCAATTGTCCATCAGTTGTACATATGAAGTGGTACAAAAAATGGAAAAAAGGTCTGCTGGGCAGGGCTTTCATAGTACACATTTTTCCTGCTATGCAATCATCAAGCAGCTTGCTCTGAATTAGTGCACCCAGTGCTACCACCTGGGAAGATTCTATCTGATCACGGTAAATTTTTTCATAAAACTAGTTTCACTCAAACTTCAATTCTTGTGATGACTGATTTAAGAGAACTGTGTGCTGCTGTGAAATTTTGTTTCCTGCTCTAGAAAAATGCCACAGAAACTGTTGTCCTGTTGAACACAGCTCACAAGGACAGCACTATGTGGAAAAACTCAGTGTATGAGTAGTTTTTCTCACTTCAAAAGAGGTAAAATGTTGATTGATGACAAATCAACTTCCCAAATGGATGAAAATGTTGACTCATAGTGCATTTGGGGTTCATTTCCCCAGGTAAGACTTTTAATCAAGCTTTCTATTTAGAAATTCTGAAAATATTGTGTAACAGTGTGTGACAAAAAAGGCCTGATTTGTGGCAGACAGGGGACTGACTGACTG